GGGGAGCAGAGGATGGGGAGGATTGGAGAAGCAAACAGAAACCTTTTAAAAAGAGGTAAAGGCAAAGGTTTCCCTTGCTCGAAAGCCAGTGGAATCCGACTCTAGGGTTGCGGTGCTCATCTCCGTTTGGCTCACAAGTGCTCCGACGGTCCAACCTCTGAGGAGGGGGGAGGGGGAGGGGGGAGCAGAGGATGGGGAGGATTGGAGAAGCAAACAGAAACCTTTTAAAAAGAGGTAAAGGCAAAGGTTTCCCTTGCTCGAAAGCCAGTGGAATCCGACTCTAGGGTTGCGGTGCTCATCTCCGTTTGGCTCACAAGTGCTCCGACGGTCCAACCTCTGAGGAGGGGGGAGGGGGAGGGGGGAGCAGAGGATGGGGAGGATTGGAGAAGCAAACAGAAACCTTTTAAAAAGAGGTAAAGGCAAAGGTTTCCCTTGCTCGAAAGCCAGTGGAATCCGACTCTAGGGTTGCGGTGCTCATCTCCGTTTGGCTCACAAGTGCTCCGACGGTCCAACCTCTGAGGAGGGGGGAGGGGGAGGGGGGAGCAGAGGATGGGGAGGATTGGAGAAGCAAACAGAAACCTTTTAAAAAGAGGTAAAGGCAAAGGTTTCCCTTGCTCGAAAGCCAGTGGAATCCGACTCTAGGGTTGCGGTGCTCATCTCCGTTTGGCTCACAAGTGCTCCGACGGTCCAACCTCTGAGGAGGGGGGAGGGGGAGGGGGGAGCAGAGGATGGGGAGGATTGGAGAAGCAAACAGAAACCTTTTAAAAAGAGGTAAAGGCAAAGGTTTCCCTTGCTCGAAAGCCAGTGGAATCCGACTCTAGGGTTGCGGTGCTCATCTCCGTTTGGCTCACAAGTGCTCCGACGGTCCAACCTCTGAGGAGGGGGGAGGGGGAGGGGGGAGCAGAGGATGGGGAGGATTGGAGAAGCAAACAGAAACCTTTTAAAAAGAGGTAAAGGCAAAGGTTTCCCTTGCTCGAAAGCCAGTGGAATCCGACTCTAGGGTTGCGGTGCTCATCTCCGTTTGGCTCACAAGTGCTCCGACGGTCCAACCTCTGAGGAGGGGGGAGGGGGAGGGGGGAGCAGAGGATGGGGAGGATTGGAGAAGCAAACAGAAACCTTTTAAAAAGAGGTAAAGGCAAAGGTTTCCCTTGCTCGAAAGCCAGTGGAATCCGACTCTAGGGTTGCGGTGCTCATCTCCGTTTGGCTCACAAGTGCTCCGACGGTCCAACCTCTGAGGAGGGGGGAGGGGGAGGGGGGAGCAGAGGATGGGGAGGATTGGAGAAGCAAACAGAAACCTTTTAAAAAGAGGTAAAGGCAAAGGTTTCCCTTGCTCGAAAGCCAGTGGAATCCGACTCTAGGGTTGCGGTGCTCATCTCCGTTTGGCTCACAAGTGCTCCGACGGTCCAACCTCTGAGGAGGGGGGAGGGGGAGGGGGGAGCAGAGGATGGGGAGGATTGGAGAAGCAAACAGAAACCTTTTAAAAAGAGGTAAAGGCAAAGGTTTCCCTTGCTCGAAAGCCAGTGGAATCCGACTCTAGGGTTGCGGTGCTCATCTCCGTTTGGCTCACAAGTGCTCCGACGGTCCAACCTCTGAGGAGGGGGGAGGGGGAGGGGGGAGCAGAGGATGGGGAGGATTGGAGAAGCAAACAGAAACCTTTTAAAAAGAGGTAAAGGCAAAGGTTTCCCTTGCTCGAAAGCCAGTGGAATCCGACTCTAGGGTTGCGGTGCTCATCTCCGTTTGGCTCACAAGTGCTCCGACGGTCCAACCTCTGAGGAGGGGGGAGGGGGAGGGGGGAGCAGAGGATGGGGAGGATTGGAGAAGCAAACAGAAACCTTTTAAAAAGAGGTAAAGGCAAAGGTTTCCCTTGCTCGAAAGCCAGTGGAATCCGACTCTAGGGTTGCGGTGCTCATCTCCGTTTGGCTCACAAGTGCTCCGACGGTCCAACCTCTGAGGAGGGGGGAGGGGGAGGGGGGAGCAGAGGATGGGGAGGATTGGAGAAGCAAACAGAAACCTTTTAAAAAGAGGTAAAGGCAAAGGTTTCCCTTGCTCGAAAGCCAGTGGAATCCGACTCTAGGGTTGCGGTGCTCATCTCCGTTTGGCTCACAAGTGCTCCGACGGTCCAACCTCTGAGGAGGGGGGAGGGGGAGGGGGGAGCAGAGGATGGGGAGGATTGGAGAAGCAAACAGAAACCTTTTAAAAAGAGGTAAAGGCAAAGGTTTCCCTTGCTCGAAAGCCAGTGGAATCCGACTCTAGGGTTGCGGTGCTCATCTCCGTTTGGCTCACAAGTGCTCCGACGGTCCAACCTCTGAGGAGGGGGGAGGGGGAGGGGGAGGGGGGGCAGAGGATGGGGAGGATTGCAGAAGCAAACAGAAACCTTTTAAAAAGAGGTAGGCAAAGGTTTCCCTTGCTCGAAAACCAGTGGAATCCGACTCTAGGGCTGCGGTGCTCATCTCCGTTTGCCTCACAAGTGCTCCGAAGGTCCGACCTCCGAGGGGGGGAGGGGGAGCAGAGAGGATCGGGAGGATTGCAGAAGCAAACAGAAACCTTTTAAAAAGAGGTAGGCAAAGGTTTCCCTTGCTCGAAAGCCAGTGGAATCCGACTCTAGGGTTGCGGTGCTCATCTCCGTTTGGCTCACAAGTGCTCCGACGGTCCGACCTCCGAGGAGGGGGGGAGGAGAGGATCGGGGAGGGGGCCCGCAAATGCCGCGGGGCCCCCCGGCCCCTAGGGCCCCACGCGAGCTACGGGCCTGCCTCACAGCAGGACAAAGCTTGGCTGTATCACAGATCACATAAAAATGGCAGTTTTAAAAAATAACGGTACTCAATGACAACTAACATTGCAATTGATTTCAGTGAAACTTAAGTGAGAACAACTTTCACTGATTTGAAGTCATGATATCTTCAGATACAAAATGGACCTCAAATTAGCCAAACCTGGATGATCCATAACATGTCAAAAGCAGTAATGTGCCTTTTTAACAAATGCCAGGCTACTATACAATAATGATGGCTGAACTCCTCCAGGTTCTGACTGCATCACAACTGCTAGTTACAACTATCCACCCAAGTGATGATCAGATTGAGTCTTTGCCAAGCTATTCACTGGAGTCTGCCTGGTGGCTGCATGTTTCTTGCAACAGCATGCATGCACAATTGGCCTTTGTGCAAGCATGCTGTGTAATGCACGCACGGTTTTGCAAAGGTCCACTGGATCTATATTTTCCCCATGTCACCAATTAGCAATATAGATGGATCTATATTTTCCCCATGTCACCAATTAGCTTCTTTTTTACCCCCCCCCCCCAAATCACTCACACCCAATGTTGTTCACAAATGTTAATCTCTCATACTTTGGTACTTCAGAATGTTGACTTCAATGTGTCACAATATGTGTTATAGAAAGTGTGGAAAGTGTCATAAAGCTCTGGTTCACTAGAAATATTCTGTTTGCTCTGGGGCTATATGACTGAACTGAGGTTATCATAATTTGGTCATATTATGAGAAGGTAAGAGTCACTGGAAAAGACAATAATGCTAGTAAAAGTTGAAGGCAGCTGGAAAACAGGAAGACACAACATGAGATGGATTGACTCAATCAAGGAAACCACAGCCCTCAGTTTGTAAGACCTGAGCAACTCTGTTAAAGGTAGGACATTTTGGAGTTCATTAATTCATAGGGTTGCCATAAGTCAGAAGCGACTTGATGACACTTAACACACACACACAATTCCAAGGTTTTTTGTACTCTTGCAAAAACAGCATGCAGTCCAGGTAACCTAGTGTATACACGCCAAAGAAAGAAACTGGACTAGGAAATAACAGTTAACCCAAACAAATCCTCTTGTGTCTTTTATGGTATACCAAACACCAATTGCTTAAGAAACAGGAAACCTCACCTCCCTATACCACTACTGTGGTGGATTTTGAAAAAAAAATGGCTGTCTTTTAAACATACATCTGTTGAGGGTGGGGGGATTTACTGTCCTCCTCCCTAAGTTGAACCTGCAAATCACCACAGGACTGCACAGAATTTATGAACGCAACTGGAGAAATGCTATACAAGGTAATAAGACCACCAGGTACTTGAGCAAATTGGGGGAAAGGGATGGAAAAAAAGGTTACTGCTGCTATTAATGCCCAAGTGAACAGGGTTTTGCAATGTAATCCCAGGGTGACCACACTGCTGCCTTCCCAGTACAACTGGATGCCACCAAAACCTTTTTTGGTACCTGAATTTGTACACCCATGGTGTTTCTGATTTCCAATCTACACACACTCCCCGTGGGATCCAGAACAACATAGTTCACCAGAACACTGGGTCCATCTGTTAATTAGGCCAAGAGATCACACAAATAATATGGCTACTAGCAAAAAAACTCCCACCCTACTACTGTGCAGCCATCAACCAGTTCATACAGCATTCAGGATGTTTGCTGCACAGCAAACTCATCTCATAACTCCCATCAAATATGGTAAGTTTGACACACAAACTCATTTGTGCTGAAGTTCACAGCACCCCTACTATACGATAGGATTTGTTTAACTATCTATGTCCAGTTTCCAACTGACTTTGTTTTTAGAAGAGATAACTTATGCAGTACGTTTCAAATCAGGAAAAACCAAAGTGCAACAGGTTGCATCACAAACTGTTTGTGCTTCACATTTTGTTTATTGTAGCTATTCATCAGATTGGCTTTCTATACAAAGAAGAATGTAAAATGAATGTTCTTTTCTTAAATCAATTACAGTTCTTAGAAATATTTGTCATCTTTCAAGAAAGCAAAAATTGCAGAAATTTAATGGGATAGGAGATGAATTTACTGATCAGTTCATAAAATACTATTGTATGAAAAGCATCAGGACTGCTTATCTTATCATTATGAAAACATAAGTAGCATAGTAACATTTTTGTCTATATCAGTACTAAATAAATGAGGACTTCTGAGTACTTTAAAAATCTTTATAATTATTATGCAAAATATGCTTTTCTCTCATACATACTTTTCATCTGGGCGTAAGACACTGCAATAAGAATCAGGACGATTTACAAAGAATCCAGTTTTCTTCACCACATTCTCTGCTATCACATTCAGCCTATCAAGGACGTTACAGAGTTTGCTAGAGGGGGATAAAAGCAAACATGGATTTATTCTCTTTGAAAGGACAACCACAGTGCGTTTCACTTCACACCAGCCTCTTATACATACAGCGTAATTATGGGCCATGCAGTTTTGCATCCTGAAAAAGGAGGCAAGAAACCTTTGAGAAGTGGAACAGATACATTATCAGCAAAACAATAACATTAACTACTGTCATTTGTCACTGACAAAACAGATTTTACAGCATTCCCAGAGTAAGGAACTGCAAACTATGTCACAGTGAGCCTTCTAAGTAAGGGAAACATTCTACTGCGTTCCCCAGGCATTAATAAGACAAAGCTCAGATAACTCAGCTAGTGTTAGTCATCTAGGCACTTTGGATAAGTAGTACAAAATAAAATAAAGAGCAGGGCCTTTATGGAGCTACGGAGTGCTTTAAAGCCGAAAGAGCAAAAACCTCTCTAAAAGACAGGGCTGGATTATTTGTTTCCCAAACTCTGTCAATCAATGCCACTGGAAAGCACATAGTCCTATCTGGATTCTCATGATAGACTCAATGGAAAAAAGCTAATTGGAACTTTGTTTTTTAACTTCTCCCCCCTCCCCCCCAGTTTTCAAAGGTTCATGATGAAACTTCTTCTGGGCAGCACTCTCCCTAAGGGAGAGGTGGTTTACATTTTTAGTACCACTGCTTTAGATAAAAAAAACACACACCTCTTTGTGTATTTGGCCATGTCCCAAGGAATATAGACAATAGCATGTTCAGGAGGTAAAAATTGATTGAGGTAGGTCACAGCAGTAACAAGTTCTTCACTCAATATCCTTTCATGCTTTCTTTTTTCACGCTCCTTCAAAAAGAAACATTAACCGAGTATGGTACATAGACACCAGCAACGTGAATTCAGAGCAAAAATACAGAACACAACTACTGGCACATACAATTTTAATGCATCATACAGAAGAAATTGTTCCTGCCTTCACAAAAGTTGTGCAGTATTTTGCAGACATTCAATCAATGAAGACATCAAGATGACAAAATCATACAAAAGGAGTCATTTAAGCTTGGCAGACTGCTAACCTTACTAGTTCATTTTTCTAAACTCAAGATGCTGGCCCTCATGTATTGTGAGCATTTTTTTGCTTCAGATACATCAATGGAGGCAAGAAAGGTCACAGTCACGTAGTAGCAAGATGCATGGGGGCACAGATGGGATCTTTTGTTAGTACTTGTTTATAACCTGCAATTTTAAAAAAATCTTTGGCTTTTCTACAAGGTGTTAATTATTGTTGAGAAAGAAATAATTGCACATGATATTGAATATGAATTTTGGACCTAAGGTCTTTGGCAGTCATTATTCTTCCGAATTTTACGTTTGCCTGTTGCATGACTAATACTTGAGGCATCCAAGCAAAAAAATTACTTAATAAAACTACAAAAGTCTATGACCCACTTTTGGGTCAGGCCCCACACATTGGGAAATGCTGATATGATAGATATTCTGAGTGCCAAATTCTGAACCTGATATCCTCCCAAGTCTGTCTTTCAGAAGACAATAGTGTTAAAATGTCTGCACCGGAAGTCACAATTACGTTTTTTAAAAAGAGAAAACTAGGACATACTCATTACTAATTACTGTACTTTCAATTTTCCATCAGACAAACAAATGCACTTTTAACAAACCCATTCAACCTTAAAGAATCCTCCAGAAGATATATGTACTTGAACTGAAAAGGCTATCTGGCTGATTAGAAGATGATTCAATGCTCACATGCATAGGATAATATTTTTCCCTCTCTGCTTAATGTAGAAGAGAATTAATTTTAGCCTCCTGCTATTGAGCACCTACAGGGAAACACATTTTTCACCACTCTACAGAAGCCCTGTGAATAAGAGCATATAATGATTCACGTGGCAGAGTCATGTGAGCCTAAAAAACATATTCTAGTTCTAGCCAAATTTAAAAATAAACCCCAGAATCACTTTGTTGGCAGCTAACTATGTCAAACATTGTTTACAACAGCCTCGTGCATGACTTTTTAAAAGTATTTTCCAAATTTTGGTTGTTGTTTTTTTACTATTTTAGCTGATAGATCTATAAAGTATAACTCTCATCTTTTTGTTGAATGCACATAAATACACTAGAGAATTCACAGGCTGACAAGCACAGTGAAATGTCAAAGAAAGGATGAAACAAAATTTAAAAACCTGATTCAAGAAGTAACATATTATGAATCATACCTTTGACTCATTAAGTGGACTAAAAGTAAAAAGCCTCTTCAAAATTAGCTCTTTAGTATATTATAGCACAAACATCTCAAGTTTGAGGCTCCACAACATTTTTATATTCAATGTTGTTGCTTTCCTTTTTCAAGCCCAAGCGAGGGAGATTTGTCTGTTTCCCTCTCTTTATCTTCCAAAAGTGGTAAAGAGCTGTTTTATTTGGCACTAGGAAGAAGGCTTGTTGTGGAAATACATAAAACGAGCTCAAGAAAAAGGCTCTGGGTGGGTGCCCTGGTCTTTGGCACTCAGCGTCAATTTGTTGTGGTGACCTCAGCAGGGTATAATGACACACAGCTTACCGTTTTCTTCAGGGGAACTGATCTCTGCCATCTGAAGAGCAGTTGTAATTCTGAGTTATCTCCAGCTCTCCCCTGGAGATTGGCAGCAGTGGTTCCCCAGGAGGAAATGGTTGGTTTGGAGGGTGGAGTCTATGGCATTGTACCTGTCTGAGGTCCCACCCCTCCTCAAACCCCACCCTCTCCAGGCTCCACCCCTCAAATCTCCAGGAATTTCCATACCTAAATTTGGCAACTTTATCTCCTCCCCTTTCAGCAGCCTCTTTCTAGGCAAAGTTGTCTTTCTCGTTAGTGGGGGGCAAAACAGCTTACTTTATTCTCCTCTTCTGCTATGTGATCTGTACAGCAACCCTGCAAATTAGGTTAGGCTGCTGAACAGGCGCAAGCAGCCAGGGCTAGTGAAGTAATGCCAGTCAGGAGGCATGAAGTCACCCTGAAAATGCTGGCAGGCCTAGGGTTGCCAACAAAGACAGATTGATGCAAAGGAGGATGGGAAAGTCTCCATATCTCTATTTTGCCTTAAATTGGTTTTGATGCCAGCAGAGTGAGAAAATGCCAGAGGCTCTGGGTGGGTGCCCAATGGTAAACGCACAATTCCTAAAGATTTTCCAAAACACTACTCTGTCCACATTCATTTTCTACACTCACAGCATCTCCTGCTAGAACGCAACACATCCCCAGCACTTTGAACTAGCACCAGCTCCTGCTGTCACCTGGAGATTGGCAACAGCTTGTTTGGAGGGTGGGTCTATGGCATTGTATCTGTCTGAGGTCCTCCTCAGACCCCACCCTCA